CTAAAAGTGAAGAATTTCTGATAAGCTTCACAACATCAATTACATGAAAATTGCTTTCCCTTCTCCCTGCTCCAGAGAATCTGTATGTTATTTTCATTGCATTGACACAAAAAATAGTCCCTGTTCGTCCTGTGTCCTGGAAAGCATTGCAGAGATCCAGCTCACTAGGCCATCCACACACCAAAATTTATCAACTTTTATAAAATTACCAGCTTTTCCACCATCCTGTTACATGCTATGCCATCCTTCAGTATGACAGTGATGCTATTTGCATTCTCCAGTAAAATGAATGGTAATATTCTAATAGCCATACAGGATGCCAGGATTTTATGATATAATCCAGATTTCCTCAACTCAATTAACAGAGTAACTAAATTTTAACTGACACTGTGGCTTCAGTTCTGTCCTTTGCATTTGGCACCTTAATTAGCTAATAAAATTCTCCAAGGTCAGCTACAGAGACAGGAGTTATTTGTTTGGATCCTGTACTCACCCAAAAGACATTTATAAATCCAGCCAGAGCCTGAGTTCGGCTTTTGGGTGAATGAACACTTCTCAAAGGCACCACGAATGCATGTATTTAATTTACTGAGTAGCACACTTCATATTTTCTCCACCAAGAAGGGTGGAGAGGTGCAAGTCAGGCTTCTCTCTTTACCCAGCTTTCCTGTTAGGCACAAGGAGGAACAAATCACCAGGAGATGCTGCAGAGTGAATCAACAGCATGTCCTTGCTCTCAGTGAAGTCTCTCAGTGAAACACTTTGCCTAATCCAAAGCACACATGCTCGCTTTGCTCCAGGAAAAAGGCAAGCACAGAGCATGTCACTGCGCAACCATGTAGTCAAATATCTACGGGAACGTTCGTTTCTACATCTCAAAAATGCAAATATGTGTCTGTTTTTTAACCGCAGAAGGGGTATGGGATATGAAAATCTGGAGCTCTGGAGATTTTCATATCTGGAGATATCAAAAAGAGGGGAGAAAGTCACCACTTCCTCTGCACACCAGAACTGGTGGTCCTCTCCCTAGACATGTGGAGCCACCACAACTCCTCCAAGATCTCACCTGGGACACGAGTCACAGCCTTTAAAACTCACGTTGGGAAACAGCTTAAGCTCTCAGGGGGTGTCAGGATTTAGACTTAATTTTTTCTGATTTTCTACATACAGTAGCACAGAAAAGACAAAATACTCAAGCCTGCCACTGGAGACCTCTTGGTGAACAAGGGACAGATAGGGATCTTTGGAGCAGCTCTCCAGCAGGCAGTGAAGGACCGTGCTCCACAGATTTTGGCTGGACGGGATGCAGTCATGGGGAGATGTGAAGGGGGTAAAGCATTCTGTGTGCTGCAGAGGCCAGTATTTCTCAACCTTTCCTTTTGACATGATGGTCTCTCCTTTCAGGTGAAGGCTTCTCACTACCTTTAGTCTTTTCAGCACACAGGCAAACACATCAGTGCTCCTCTGTAATTGTTTTGCATGTAGGGACCTGTGTGTTTTGACAAGCTGCTGAAGAACAGGGAGCTTTAGAGGACCTGGAGGTGAAGAAGCCTGGGCAGGATTCTATTTCTTTCCACTGTCGTAACTTTCCATTACCTCACGTCTCTGCCCCATGACAGACACACACTTCTGCTATCTATGTGAAAACGAGAAAACACCCCTTTACCTCTGCCAGGCCTTTCACCAGGACACCAAAGGACTGTTACCCTTTCTCCCCCTCATCCACAACTGATCTGGCTGCAGCAAACAGTGTACACCTCAGTACGTGGTGTACAGGGCATGGGAATGTGAACATTAGCTCGGTGGTAGCTCCAGGCTGGTGATGAATGTTTCTGTTTCATTGACATCTACCAACGATAAAGCAACTACTTTGTAAATAAATAATCACCTTTCATTGAATCTCCCTGCCTCTTTCTTGCAACGAGGTGTTTTCCCTTAATGGTCTTTCCTTTGCTTGTTACTCTTTCTGCTGAGACTGATAGGAATTTGGCCTTTAATGAAACCTTATGTTAAGACATGGTGACTGTTGCATACAGAAGAGAAAAGATCTCATTTTCTGGCCAATTTTTCCTCAGTTTAGAAGGACCTCCTCAAAATTAAGCTAAAACATCGAAAGATGGATAAGTGTGATGTAACTGTAGTTGTCAGCAAACTCAGTTAAGGATTAGGGTGTTCCTTTCACTGCTATGGCATAACTGCAATCTTTCCTCTGGCAACATTAACTAGCAAATCCTTATGAGTCTTGACTCTATGTGCAGTCTCTCACTGCTGCTGATCTGTTCCTGAATATGCTTCAGATAGAGCTAGCAGGTTCCCTGTCAGCTGTAGCTGCCCTGGAGCTGGTTTTTCAGTTATTTGAAGGCAATTAGTCCTTGGTCATATTACCACTCACCAGCTCTCCGGTAAGCCTGGACCAGAGTGACTTGGCTCACTGTTAGACTTCCCCAGCCCTTTCCCTATGTTAGACATTCAGAATATGCACATTTTAAGGGTTTATTTCTCCTATAAAGGAAAATGCATAATGCCGTGGGGTTTGCTTTTTCTTTCCCTTCAGAAACCTGTAAAGGCTGCAAGGTCCCATTCTCCCCCAGAGCCCAACATTGATAATCATCTGTTTTCCTCCCCCCTGAACAGCTTCATGGGACCTGAGGGATACAGAGTTTCCTGAGGAGCTGAAAAACAAGGTTCTCCTCAGAGAACCTCAGACCTGGTCCTCATTGAAGTCCTTTCTACATAGTACAACAAAGAAAACCACACCAGAAATCATCGAGTCCAATCATTAACATAACAGTGACAGGTCCACCACTAAACCCTGTCCACAAGCACCCCATCCACACGTTTTTTGAACACTTCCAGGGATGGTGATTCTACCACTTGCCTGGGGAGCCTTTTCTAATGCTTGACCACCCTTTCAGTGAAGAAATTTTTTCAGATTAGGCTTGAGAAGAGACCTGATGGAAAGAGGGATTGCTTCTAAGAGCCTGAGCAATGTGACCAGTGCCATTGCAAAGAGTCACCTCTGCCTGCCCAAACCACTGCATCCTGTTTGCGCCTCCCAGGCTCAAATCCTGCTGATGCCAGGGCTGCAGCACGTTAGATAACAAAATCCTTCTCGCTCCCGTATCCCTGAGCAGGGCTGGAGGCAGCTCCGGAGCTGGCACACTCTGGGGCTCCTGCAGCCACGGCATTCCCCTTCCCGGAGCAGCCCTTTCCCGGAATCCTGCCCGGGAGATGCTGGGCTCCGGCTGCTCCAGGGTCCCGGGCAGGCAGCAGCCCCTAGATGGAGCTGCGCAGCAGGGAATGAGCACCCGCCACCATCCCACCCACCCACCCGTGTCCGCGACCCCCCGGGCTGCGGGGTCCTGTGTTCAGCATCGCTGTGCTGAGCCCCCAGATCAGGCTTGGGGGGCCGTGAACGTCTGGCAGCCCTGGGTGGGAAGGATGACTGGGTCTGGGGTTTTGTTTAACTCTGATTCATTAAACCCCCTGTTTTTAAGCTGTTTAGAAGCAGGCTGCATTTTTCTGAAATTATTTTGGTAGTGGGGGAAAGGCAGCTGAACCATAATCAAAGAAGTTTATTTCTGGCCATTAAATGGGAAAAAATATGTTAGTTTAATTGCATAATATTTTATAATCCAGCATCTATTTTTCATTTTTAGGCTGAAGCTTTGTAGTCCTTACCTGCTCTGCTCATCAGTGAACTGTAAGATACACAAACACAGGGTCTGACTATCTTACCCAAACCACAGCAGCACCTTTGAGGACCCAGCTGCCAGCAGAGACTCCAGCCAGTGGCTGTCCTTGCACTGGGACCATGAGTGTTTGGCACAACCATTTCTGCAACAGACCTCGGGCATGCCCAGGAGTGCCAATGAAAGGCTGGACATGAATTCAGAAAGAGCAGGTTGATGCTCACATCAATCCGGCTTCACTACAGGTAATTATCCTGTATCTAAATTATGTCTGTGTTTTGTTGGAATACTAACACATTTCTTTTTTTATGGAGTTAATGCTATATAATGGAAGTCACAGACTGAGCTCTGAAGAATCTGCATTAGCACACTCTGTCAGGCCAGACTCTGACCTAAAGGCCATGAAAGCAGGGAAAACTGGTGTTGCCTTGGGTGAACATTGGCAGGTTGCTACAACTACACTGCAGGGGAAAATTGTGCTCTGCATTAGCTATGTGAGAGCAGCCAGCCTGAAGGTGACAATTTCACAAGACAGAACATCTCATCTACCCAGAGACGAGGTCGGGTGTAAACAGCCTTCTCCTTTGATACACAAAAGCATAATTACAGCTCCTGGAATTGCTCTAGCAAGAGCACTGACTTTCCCCTGCTAAGAAAATGTAACTCACAGGAATGCCTTTTTCTTCTCCCTTTCTTCCATAGATGATGGCTAGAAACTCCCTCAGATATGTATTTTTTTGCTCAGCACATGCCACTTCAGATCAGTTGGGCTGGATCCATCCACAAAAGATGCTGAACAGTTGGTGTTTAGCCCACACAAAATCCTATCCACATCCACAAAAAAAGGTCTTCCTCTGCTGTTCTCACCTACAAGACTCAATTCAGCTGTATTTTCAGAACATGCAGAAGCCAGAGAAACAACTCTTTTCCTCAGCTCATTTACCCAGATTCAGGGGTGGGGTGGTCATCCCAGACTGAGGAGAAATGGGCTTTTCTTTTGGGATACACTGTAAAAGTTCAATTCACACCTGACTCCTGGGGGACTGTCCCCAAATATCCAGCCACAGATGAGCCCAGGGTGGCTATTCTCTCAAGCACTTCTCTGTTCTGTTGACTTTACGTGAGGTAAAGTCCTTATTGCTTTTAAACATCTAGTGTATCACACGATCCCCAAGCAAATCTCCAACCCACTGAAAGATTTTTCAGAGAACTGAGTTTAGTCTTACAAGTGTGAAGGTCTAAAGATCACACAGAATGCAATGGAGTCTTCTCAGGCACATCCCAGTAGCCCTTCCAAGTGTCACATACCCTCCTCTGTAGCCACCTCCAGGACAAGAGCAGAGAAAGGAGTAGCAGTGTTGGAGGGGAAGATTGCACGTCCAGATGGTACACAGTGGAAACCACTCCTGAAAATACAAAAAGCAGGATGTGTAATCTGAGTAGAGCAGTGAGAGAAATGAATCTTTATTTTTTTCCCTACTATATGGTGATTGTGAAATTTTTTATAATCACAAGTGATGAAGGTGTTGTCATGCCTCAGTCAACAGACCGTGCCCCCAAATACCTCAACAACAGCCAAAGAAACATTGTGTTCTGCAAGTCAGGTTTTAATTTTGCTGCCTCGAATCCCAGTACAAGTCTGGGCTGGTTTTATGAATTCTGATGATGTTGCAGCCTAATGTGGCAGCCTGATAGATGCAGACTGAAGGAAAGGGGGATTTAATATCCCTGGCCCGAGCACTGAGCTGGTAATGAAGAAGGGTTGTTATTAGTCGTTTGCATAACATAAAAAGGAGATTCAGATCCAGGCTTAATAAATTCTCCTTTGTATGAAATAACACAGTTATAGCCACTTCTATAAAAATGTCAAAGCCTTTATATGAATTAAATGTTCCTTCAGAGCATAAAATACAGTCCTACGACTCAATAAAAATCACTTGTGTCACTCCGTGGATTTCTTTGAAGGGTCACTCACAAGGCAAGGGGTACGAACTGAAGCATTGCTCTCCTTCTCCCTTGAGGTGTGAGACAGCACGGTGACAAGAAGAGCTAAAGTTGGGGTGCCAGAACTAAACTGGGGACAGTGAGGAGCAGGCACAGAGAAGCAATGCCTTGGGTGTGGACCTACTAAAAAGCCACACTGCTTTTTCTTGGTGGCGTTTTGGCCTTGAGAAACTCTAGGTCATCACCCAAGATTAGTGGGCTCAGAGGTGGGTCAAACCCCCAGGCAGTGGGAAGTGGATGGATTGAGTGGCCAGGCAGCAAACAGCAACTGGGCACAACTGACAGAAGACAGATTCAGGTATTCAAAGACAACTAGTGATGCTCCATGTGGAAAAAGTCACTGCAGCAGTGGGGAAGGCTCAGCTGCAAGCACCCTGACTGTGTGGTAGTGTCACAGGAGCCTCAGCCAGCTGCTCCTTGTAGTTTCCTGTCTGGCATTCTCCCCTTGGAGAGCTGCACATGCCCCATACTTGGGCCAGTACCTGTCTGGGTTGATGTGCAGTGCACCAATCCCTTCAAGCACAGCTCCTGCAGAGTGACAGGAGGTCGGTGGAGCCCAGGAGGCCTGGCCATGCCCTGCAGGGAGCCCCAGGGTGGCCATCAGCACTAGCACAAAGGCCCATGACCTTCACTCATCTTCTCCTTGAGCAGCCCAAGGAGTAGAACTCTGTCTGAATCACAAATAGTAACTAGTTTCCCTTGAAGACATATACTTTTCATACTTTGAGATGTTGAAACTCAAGGATCATGGTGACCCTGGAAGAGTCATCACATCGCAGCAGGAGTGTGAGTGCTATTTCTCAATGAACTAGTTGAGGTGCCAGCAGCAGTGTAAGTGCAAATTCAGTGCTCCTTCTGGGTTATAATAACCTCTGAAAGGGTACACTCAGCTGCAAAGCAGCAAGCAGTTTGAGGAAGCATACTTTCCTTCCTATGTATAATCCTGGGTGCAGAACAAGCTTTGCATCCTTACTGTGCTGACACCCTTAAAGTCCTGATCCTGACACAGAGCAGTGCCTCAGGGCTGTCTGCTTGAAAGGCCCAGCTTAGACTGGCCTAGGAAATACAGGCTTATTGAGAAGAAGTTGGCTAGCAAAGTCCTTTCAGAAACTATGTGTACTAAATTCATGCTCCAGGCAGCTTAGAAAGTGCCTGTGCTCCCTCCTTTTAAAAATTAAATTGTCATTGTAGGGACACCCATCCTTTCCATCACAGGTAGAAGGGCTGTGTAACTCCCAGCTCCCAAAATACTGGTGCTTGCAGAGGGATATTCCCTTTAGCAGATGCACCTGTTCTGTCCCAGGGAGCTGTGCCCTTGTTGCCGCACTACTACAGAATCTTTCCTCCCTAAGTGCTTTAAAAGCTACTTCACCCTCTGTGCCCTAGAATTTTGGCAGAATTTAAGGCCACACAAAGAGAACATGGTTATCTCATCTAGACCACCGTCAAGACCTATGGCTGGGATGTGGCCAACTGGAAAGCAAGTCATGACTTGCTTTCACTTTGTTTGGAAGTGGGCAGACTGTGTCTAGCTGTCTGCCACACACAGAGGTCTGTTATTACATTCACAAATATTCAGAAATCATGGGGGATTCAGGCTGTGGTTCTGCAAGATGTGAGAAATTTGGTTTTAGGCTCGATCAAAACCACCGCAGTCACACAACACAACCCAGTGGCCAGGTACCAACCCAACCAGCCAACTCAAATCTGCTCAAGACTTTCCAAGGAGTGACTTTGGAGCAGAAGGTTTCATCCCAGATTGAATGCCAGCTGTGCCCCTGTAGCCAGCATAAACAGAAGTTAGCACACACTCACGTAGCTACGCTCGTATGCAGACCCTTGACCATGGACAATGTTCATCCAACTGGAGATCTGTAATCCTGTGGATCTAATACTTAATTAACTGAAAATTTCCAGCATTTTAAGTTCTTCTCCCACATACCACACAGAGTATCATGCATTTCTGTGTGCTTATTTGGCTGAGTTTGGGCAACTGAGGAATAATAGTCTGGAATTTGATGCAATTTCCCTAAATAATCCTGCACTACAAAATGCTGTGAGTCAAAGTGAAGATTTCCAGGCTGTTCCAAAGCTTGGAAAACCTTCTTGGGCAAACTGCACAGCTCCAACAAGACACGCGCTCCTGATTTAACTGAAGGATGCTGAACCAGTAATTTTCTCTCCTGCATTTTCAAAAAGAATATGTATAAAACCGCACACACACGTAACCTATAGCTGTGATTAGCACCACAGTGATTAAGCAGATATTCCTTGCAAGAAAAGAAGAGAATAGAGCAGTTACGTACACACCGACTTCCACATGCATACGAGACATCCTCCTTGAAGGGGGAATTATGGTGCATGGGGAGAATAAATCATCCCAGGCATATCTGGGGATGTCCCATACTCCCTCAGCACTCCCTCAGGAAACAGAATGTGGAGAAGCTAAAATAAATTGGAGAGATGAGCAGTAATTTATTTTCCCGTCTGGAAAAGATAATTTAACTACTCAATTAAACATTGCCTGAAGCCATACTATTAGAGTTGCACATCCCATCTGTAATACAGATGGATCTTGCTCTCTTATTACTGGTCTTCATGCTGTCTGGTACTTTAAAATTCTGGTTTAATTAGATGACACCTTCCACAAATGCTGAGCTATTGGAACATAACTCAAGTAGTATCTAGGAATTTTTGCCATCCAAGAAACCTTCCGTAGGAATCATATGTTCTCATCTCTGACATAAAAGAGCAGGTTGGAAGCAATACTGAATAAACTGATGATATATTATTTCTTACGTTGTGTTATTTTGAAGCACAGTGCTTCAGTCTGGGGTCTTTTCTCTCATTTATCAATGGTTTTCACCTGAGATCATCCACAAATCAGATAGCTTTACAATGTATTTTTCATTGATTTTTCTAAAGTGTTGATTCAATATTGAAATAGGTCATTTTAATACTGAATTAAGGAGCAAGTATCCCCATTATGAGGAGATTTCATTATGATAGCATTTATTACACCCAATTATAGCTGTCTTGAAACTATGCAGTTATTTGGAGAGGTTTGTGAGTGATGCCTGGATGGGCAGGGACTTGTATGAGTAGAATACTTCAGAAGTGCCTGGCAATTCCCCCAGTCTCCTTGCCACCCCTTTGCCCGTCTGAGCCCACAGCACAGCAGGCACTTCCCTGGAGCAAGTGCAAACCCCGCAAGTTTAAGGAATTAAAACCCACGAAGCCACTCCTGAAAAGTGGAAACAACCAAGATCCACAGACTTGGGGATGTGGCACTTAGGGACATGGTTTAGTGATGAGTGTGGCAATGCTGGGTTAAGAGTTGAACTTGATCATCCTAGAACTCTCTTCCAATCTAAACAATTCTGTGAATCTATGACTTCTGACTTAAAAGTTCAGGGGAATTTACATGTGATTGAGAATTTTGCACCACAAATACAACTGAATGAGCAGGACCTTTTTGCTTTCACATGAAAATCTCCATCTATCTCTCCAGCGAGGAGAAGCACTTTGTCCCTCAGATCCCCATGGCATCTCCCTAGCTTAGTGGGAAATTAGACAAATATCACTTTATTCCCTGATATGTCGTATTTTTACTAACCATTCTAGTCTAACAACTTTTGCCAGGATGGGAGATTCCCTTGTGCTGGGAGCTGTATGAACACAACACAAAACCAGTGTTTTATACGCTTCTTCTTGATAAAGACACTATAACTTTGGGGAAAATAGAAGGATTTACATGCACAATAAACAGATCTCCTGTGACCACTGGTTCTGGATGTCTTGGGTTAACTAGTCAGCTGGGCTATCAGTGACATCTTTAAGCATGAGAGCAGTTTTATTTATTCCATTTCATCTGAACTGCTATAACTACAGATTTTGTTGTTGTTGTCCAGCTTATTTTTGTAATTCTGTCAAATTCTTTACCTTAACAGTGTCACCATTGGATGCGCAGTACACCATGATTTCTTTATATTGTACTACTTTTATGAGTCATAGGAAGTACTGAGGGACAAAAAGCACGACTGAAGATGTGAAAACATCTATACAGTCTACATGTACTGGTCCTTGTAGGTTTTATGAAATCCCATGAAGATGAAGCCAAGGTTGACTTCCCTCAAAGAGCCTTAGAGATAGTTTAAAAAAATGAATAAAAAATTTCCAAAAGATAATTTCTTCACTGTTAGATTTGTAACAGAAACTCATCACATATATCAGATCCTTGGTTACATATGCAGATGTTTCAGCCATATGCAATAACATATGGCACATTTCTCACAATAACTAGTCTTTTTTTTCCTGTGTAAGGCTACAAAAACAAACACAGAGTGTCTCAACCTGCTTAGGACAGAGGGGGTATCTCTACTGGCTTCTTCTCCCCCTGCTA